AAACTCTTTATTATCCTTACTATTTTTGTTTTAATTTGTTTTAATTTTTAATATTTTAATTTACAAAACACAATTCTACAAACATTACTTACAATGCAGGTATCATTACGCTACTCTGCTTGCAGAACAATACTTACGTTACTTACAATACGGGTTACTTATGCTGGCAATACAATATTGAATACAGTTTCTTACAGAAAATACAATTACTTGCGAAATGAGCTACTTAATTTACACTATTAATTGATCTTGCATATCCCACTAGAAATAAAGCAAATAATTTGAACGGAAATTTAACTTTGTTGTGAGTTGAGAGTGCAATGTACTTCATTTTAATATCTTGGTTTAACTTGCATTCACTATATAGGCCTCTCCAAATAATATAAAGTTGCATGCTGATGACCCCTCAAAGACAAACTGAAAATGACAAAAATTATAAACTGGGCTTTCAATAATCACTTGAAAAAATTTCAAACATTACATTTTGTCGATGCTTTTGCAAATGTCATAAATATCGCAGTTTACGTAATTTTCATCAGGACAATAATGTGGTCCTTTGAATAATTATCGTAACTTTCGTTGATGGGCTAGCGAAATCTCGTAAATATCGCAGTTTTCGTAAATTTCGTAATTTTCGCAGTTTTCGTAACTTTGGAAGGACCTTCCTTGCTACCCTTTGAATAAATTTCGAAGATTTTGTCGATGGTCTTGACAATTATCGCAAATTTCGCAGTTTTCGTAACTGCGTTCAATCCTGGACATTACTCGCCTGGGTTCAGCCCCTATATGGGGCGGGAAGAAAGGAGAGGTCAGGGACTGGACTAGCTTGTTAATGGTATTAGAAATCACAATTTGTATACTTTGGGAATATTAAGTATTATTAGTATTCACAGCTTTTTAAAACATTTGTAAATAATATTAATAATAAAAAGACATACTGTATTTCCCTGACTAAATGCCAGGGTCCGGTTTATTTCAAATTCGGCCCTGCAGACCAGGCCTATCCCTCGTGGGTTTAATAGAACATTTTCTCACCATTTTCTATTTTTAATCACCGACAATATTTTCAAGAACATTTTTAAAGCACTCTCGTCAGCTAAGTTTCCTGTCTCAAATAACACAATTTTACTGACTTGAAGCAAAATTTAACTTGTCAACCACAAGGCAAGAACGTTTCCACATGGTAAACGCCGAATTCACTTCCGCACATGTCAGTGGCGGATCTAGGGAGGGCCACCCCCCCCCCTCCTTATTTTGGGTAAAAAAGAGAAGAAATCACAGAGGGAAGAAAAGCTGCCAAGGCGACCAAAATAAAACCGTCCCCGCCCTCCTTAGTCCAAGCTCTGGATCCACCGCTGCATGTACGCAAAAAATGTATCAACTTTTTCCATAGATATTAGCCTTATTCACTTATTCTCTTCTCCCGTGAAATTTCACGCCCTTCAGCGTCAATAACATGCAAATCGATCGAATATATTTCCGAGGCAACCTCGTCCCCAGGGCCTTCTCCACTTTACAAAATGGCTGGCAGGAACCCTTGGCAATGCTGAGCTAACACCCTTGATGATTGGCTCATTCATACGAACAGGCTGATTGGTTTAAATACATCCTAAAGAAATATGGCGGACGTAACGAGTGTTTATGCAAATAAGAAAGGGATACAGGAGATTGTATTGCAGTTCAGTTCAAGCGATGTTGAATCAGACTACCGTTAACGACTCGAAAAGTGAATCTTTTCCGTTAGACTTTAAGGGCCCATTAACTGATCTTTTAAAGCCGTTGCTAAGGAAAATTTATTCTCATGTAATCCCATCATTTTCAGTTTAGAGTTATTTGATGTGTTTTAAGGTGGCTCCCTAGAGTAATTGCGAACACCCTCCCTATAGAGCGCGAGTTAGAAAAGGAAACTTTTAGTTAATTTATCTTAAAGTTTTCCCTGTAGCGATATACCAGTATGGGTACTGTGAAAATAAGGCTTATCTTTTGGTTGTCAATTCTTGGATTTAGGCCATTACCATGGCAACAGCTCATCTAATGACAGGCAGATATATTCCTCAATTTGGCCTAAACTCTTTAATATTTATACTTTCCTTCAGTGAAATTTTCTCATACTTCGCCACATAATGGAAATTATATTACCTGACATTTTGAATTGGTAAAAAGTCAAGGTTGTTCAGACGGTTTTTCCAATATTCTGTAATTTGTTATTATTCTAAATATACTAGTTTAGCTCTGACCGATTTTAACAAAAAACAGGGTATTTTATAGGAACAGTATGTGGTTAGAACTGAGCCAAATGAAAACAAAAAATTCACCGAAGGGAATACGAGAAAATAGCATTCATTTGGTCACACTGACGTCACAAAAATCAGAAAAACACGCATGGTGTTACGCGTGATTATTTATTTAAGCGCGCGCTCATGTGACGCCATGTATCACACGCGAGAAAGTAAGAGTAAATTAGAGCTTTCACCAGCTATTTATAGAGCTCTTTTTGTCATATTTTTTTGGCCCTAGACTTAAACACGTGTTTGAACAGAGTTTGAAACTATTGCTATGTATACCAAAGTAATTTAATGCCTTTCAAGTGCTGAAGTGATTTCATTTCTTCTTGGGGTTCTTGCGTCTTTTTTGAACGCGCGATTACTGACTGACGCTTGGCAGGCAATGGTAGCGCGTGCTATTGAGTCTCAGAAACACTGTAGTAAGCCACCTTAACCCCAGTATTGCATTGCGCATCCTTACTGCACATAATTTATGGCGTCATTAGCACGCGTTCGTGCATGCGCACATTGAAAACATGGCGGATTTGCCTTGATATTGAGTTCTGTCAGCTGAAAAATGGCTATAGCTCATTAACGAGCTCGGGCATCCCAAATTTTTTTTCAGTCATTTTAATCAACTAATCACCAGCTTTGTATGAGAAAAGACTGATCTGATTTCTATTGTTGAAAATTGAATAAATAAGGAAAATAGCAGCTGCACTATAGTCTTTTCTATTTTGCAGTTTGATAGCCGTGGCAAGCAATTTGGTTCCAATATTTTAACAAGGATTCAGCTGTCTGTCAAAATCAAACTTAAAAAGTTTATTTGAGTTTGACACAAGTATTGACTGTAGTTTGAGGCATGTTTTCATGAGTCTGGGCTCACAAAGAGTTTACAATAACTTGGAATGCATTCTTGTAAAAAGCATTAAATAACGCTAAAATGGGACATTTTCCCCACTGCTCCTTAACGAGCATAGGCACCCCCTTTTTTATTTTATAATTAAAGTTCTCGTGTGATAAATATTCGATGGACAAAGTTTGAACCAAAACCTATGTGCAGTTCTATTTCAGGGGAATTACCTTAACTTCTTCATGACCAGTAACAACAGTGATGACGTCATCAAGCCACACCCTTGGTCATGTGACTGGTTCTGAAAAAATGCAAAGGCTCCCAGGCAAATTACTTTATCGGGATGTTTTTCATGGATTTGATATTTAGATTTTAATCCTCATTAAGCTATGCATAGATTTTGTTTTATTTCTAAAAGGTCAGATTTCGAAAAAAATTCGAAATATTTCTATTTTGTTTCTATTTTCTTGTGTCCGGACACGTGTTCCTTAAGTATAGGCTTTCTTTCTGTATTAGGTTTAGGCTTATTTCAACTGCTATTTCAAATACACTCTTTTCCTAATAATGATATTGTTTTTCATGCAGAGGCTGAATATTTTACTTTTCTACCGTTTTTAGGTTGAAAATATTCTTGTGAATATTCTTAGATTAAAGCATATGTACCGAGGGATCCACTGTAATTGGCTACGTTGTAGTGATCTCCCTGCCAAATGAATTTTGATGTATATAAGTTAAGTATTTTAGTTGGATGAAGTTAAATAAATAAATAAATAAATAAATAAATAAATATATATGACACTTCTGTTGTCAAGGATATTTGGTGTCTGGATGGTGTTAAAGTAATTTTAGAGCCAGCTTGCAGGCATTTAAGACTTATTGATACAATGCCTATAACTTCTGGCAGAAATGTTATTGGCATCGAATATACAGCTAGTGCTGTTATCGTTGCTTTTTTAAAATTGTATTTACAAATTGCAACACAAAATAATATTCTTTTCAAAATCTCATCCTCAGCTAGAGGTTTATTCTTAAAATATTCTTAAAATTTTGCAAATTTCTGCCTTGATGTTTTATAAAATATATTCTTCAAAAAGAGTGAAGGTGAAGAACTAATTTACAGAGGAAGAGATTTGAATTTATTGCGTTTTTTCTGTCTGGCCTCTCCTGGATTCTTCTCCCCATTGGAGAAGTGAGATCTGAGGACATAATTAGCTCTGGATGGATGTCAATTACAGTGCTGCGGATAATTTGCCTTAATTACCATCTTGGCACTGGAAAGGGCGAATAAAAGTTTAATGAAAAAGGGTTGTGGGTGATAACAAAGTTATTAGAGAATCTTACTTACCACATGAACACAACAGAAATAGATAATGAATGTACTGCTTGTGCTACTTCACAGTAATTTATCTGTTTTAAGCAAATGAATATATGAAAGATCATATATTTTAACTGCGAAGGAAGATATGGAGACATGATCATCGCAGTTATATACACAACTTAAACAGCTGTGAAATTAAAGCCTGAAAAAAATTCAGGCTCGAATGGAATTTGAACCCAGAGGTCATGGGATCATGCAAAGCATTCTGGGTTTGTTTGGTAGCCCTCGGCCATGTGGCAGCGTTCGGCCATGAACAATTTTTTTTTTTTTGGACCCAAAAAAAAAAAAAAACTAGTGGCAGCGCTCGGCTGGGTAGTTAATTTAATTTTGATTTGATTTCATTTATCTTTGGTTTCATTTTATTTCTATTTTACATTTTACTTTCACTTGCTTTTATTTTAAAAAGAAAAATAAGAAATAAATCAAAATTTAAAAAAAAATAACAAAAATAATTCCTACAAATTTGAATATTTTTAATAGCAGTTCTCGGCCACCATACACAGCACCAAAACCGCAGTAACGGGAAGTATGCTACATATTGCGTGATGAGCCGAAACTTGATCTTCCGCATACGGAGCTCCCACAGATCTCTCTGGGCGTCGAAATAGCGTCTGCCGGAGGAATTAATCACACGTTCTAAAAAAAGAGTTGAAGTTAAAATAAGAATTTGGTGGATTACAAAACGATTGGAAAACAAACAACGCCATCGAAGTGTTGTTGGTTCTGTACTGCGAGCGTCGTTGAGGACTTAAGTGGGTATTTCAAATCGATTGTTGTGAGTTATTGCCTGGAGTTCTAGCAGCTGGATTCAGCCAGTGCTGCTTAGTAGTTTATGGTGTTTTTAAGTTTCTCCAGTCTTCCAGTTTGGTAGGGATTCGTCTTGAGCCAAAAACTGCGAATTTAGGAGGTAAGCTTACTGTCGTTACTCTAACCAAATCTACTACTTCATAAGCTTACACAGAAGCATATCACCTCGACTAGGTGATATGCGTCTGGCTTACAGGCATCGACCGTACAGTGCCCTAACTATTACTTGAGAGAGGGCAGTACATCTCTCACTGAATTTTTCTGTTATGTCTTTTGCGACCGCAGAAAAAAGGAACTTAATGTGAATTATTTTAAGCTGCAAAGAGAAGACAGTTAAGAAATAACTTTCAGTGCTTCATTGGCACTTCCGGCCAACTACATGGCACAGGGAGCTGCAGACATCGATGAAATTTCTCCCTTCCGCTTCTCACAGCAAGCTGCGCCTAGAACAGGTAGGAATCATTACCATTAGGAAAGTAATCGTACTTTCTGTTTGTTCGTTTGTTTTGAATTTTAGTCCGAAGATCCAAGTGGGGAGAGTGGAGTATTAAATAAGCTAAGGGAATGGGAACTCTGGGGGAGTCAAGTAAAATTTGCATATCATGTCCAACAAGAAAAACAAATGAATCTCACATGTATGTATTTATTTATTTAACTATCTGATATTTGAGCTATATCGATTATTTAGTTATTTGATTTAATTTATTTTATATCTTGTATCTACAATTATTTATTCATTTACATTTTATTGAGATTTTCAAATTGTCCTGTGAGTATCAAGATATTCTGCCATAATATTATGTAAACTTAAATCAGAAGATAGAATCTGTAACACAACCTGCCACAATTAACTCTCACTAGTTAGCTAAAGTTGCCATAAATTTTCTGTTGTTCTGTTAAATTAATAGTGTTGTATTACATGATGTTGTTGTCTTGCAATACATTTTGTTTGGATTATAATAACTTGAAGGAACTAAGGTGTGAAATTTTAAAGTGCAACTACTTAAACTCAGGGCCACTTGGTAAAGAGTTTAAACCAATTAGAACATATTTTCTTGAGAACAAATCATGGCGATTTCTCAAATAAACCAATAACATGATGAAGAATACAAACAATAGCTCTATAGCAAAATTGGAAACCCAACAGGAGAGTGAACAGCTGAGTCAAGTGTTATGCACATAGACCTCTCAAGAACCATTTGTTACTTGGCTACTTTCGATCCTAAATTTTGTACATATCGTTGCAGTTTAAATAGATGTTGCAAAATGAGTTTTTGAGCTAAATTTCCAAGTTAAATGTATAATGATGATAGCAGAGCTCCAGCGGTCCGAAGGGCTGCCAAGCAGAGCCCCATACTTATATAGGAACGAAAAGGAAACCCACGAGTTGATTTTCTCATGGTTATCACGGCTAGCGGTATTGCTCGTGGGCCCGTACACACGACAGCGATGGGGACGGCGACGGCGACGGCGACGGCGACGGCGACGGCGACGGCGACGGCGACGGCGACGGCAACGACGACAACGACAGAGTCGCGCAACATGGCCGCCAAACTCTAAATAATAGGCTGGCAGAGACCTGTAGCCTTGGTTTACCTTGTACTTCTTTGATATTGGGCATCCATGTTATCATCAATTGACACCTGTCAAAACAAGGTATCTGCTGACCAGTATCATGTGACCATATCGCGGGCTCAAGTTTACAGCTCATCAAGGTCACGCATTTTTTTGAAGTTGACCGCTGACCAAGTGTTGGTTTTCGATTGGATCGCGGGCTCACACCAGGTTAACTTGTTGAAAACAGGGCAGGATTGTTCAGGAGCCAGTTAACTCAAAACCAGGATTAAAAGTTAACCGAATTATAACTTTTTCTTCTATACAAATGTGTTTTGCTGCTTTGTTTTGTGTATATGGCGATTATTAAAACTTAAAACAGAAAGCCAAACAATATACAGAAAACCTCACCACAAAGTTAGAAAACTCAAATTAAAATTCTATCTTTTCCTGGGTTAGCTTAATCGGGCTCTGAACAACCCGGCCCAGGAATTACGCTTTTAGGCTGGCCTAAATCTATATAATTATTAGTTTAATTTGCCTTCTAGGACTGAATCTGTGTTTATTAAATACAGGGTATCGGTTATACTAATTCAATGTATTGAGGTCAAACAGACCCTAATACTTGCCTTCTTAAAAGAAATACCTGAATCCATTGTTCTCAGTTTACACTCTGATTGGCTGGTTTTCTTCAAAGTGGCCTGGTTCAATGGTCGCTCTAAACAGAGGCGACCTCAAGTTAGGTTAAAATAATATGACTTTTGTTCTGAGCAACACGCACCCATTTGACTTATGCAGGCTAAGGGGAAGTACACTGTTATTGTATGGTGGAACCCATTTTTAAGGGATGCCAATGCCCACCTTTTTGGGGCACCCGCTTATTATGGACAGATTTATCTGACCCAACAAAAAGCTTATGTAATTTCTCCTACCCTCTGATAATATGAAATCCTTGTTCTACGGACACTGATTCTCTTGCACTGCTTTGTATACTTAATATAAGAAAATGAAAGCCTGGTACAGGTGGTGATGGACAAAACGCTGACCCCCAGTCCATGGACTACCCCAATGGGCTACCAAAATGGACTTCCCTAAAATGTACTACCCCTAAAAGTAATATTCCAAATGAGTACTATTTTAAATTGTAGGCTGCTATACTTAACTGTCTTTTTTTGTTCTAGAATAACTGAACACAAAATAGACAAGTAGATTCCACTTGTTCAGTATTACTATGACTTAGTTAGGTGTATTTTTTACAATTGTAATGTTCCAGGCTCAAGATAGCCTGACTTATAACTTATTATTCTGGTGTCTATGATGAAATTATGCCTATTTATTGCTCTGCAAGCTACTTAAACTAGATCCAGTTCTTTAATGGAGCCCCCACCCTACTTTACAGTTGCAGATTATTGTAAGGGCCAAAATTGCCCCCTCCTTTTAATTTTGAATGCCCCTTGGACCTGCCCCTGCAAATAGCTATAACCACTTAAATTACATTTAGCACCAGTGACATTAAGTGGTTTTTTAAGTGATGACGCATTGTGTGACATCATCATTCCTTTATTATGCCTTGGAAAATTTACAGCTGTAGCTATTAATCTTTCTTTTGGGTTGGTACATTTTGCTCACCCCTAGCGCATGGATCAACACGATGGATGTGGTACATGACCTACTTGAATGACTACCAATGGACTACCCTAAATGTAAACCACTAAAATTTCTAACACAAAAGTTCTACAGTTTAGTTTAAGAATCAGTTTGTCTGTTTACATGTATGTTCCAATCTGTTAGGAACAATTTTTAAAAGTCATTATTTTTGCTTCTGCATGCGTTGCGTGCCATTGTAAACACTCAGATTCAGTCTGTTGTAAATTATTGTGGAAAAATTTAGGGCTATTAATAAATGGTTAAGGACCTGAATGTTCACTGCCTTGCTATTTATGTCAAAAATGATCTTAATGAACTGTTCCTGGAAGGTTGACTATACAGCCATACTCTTGTCATCTCCTCTCTCAATGTCATCTTTTAGCTGCATGTGTTAAGTGGTTTACTGAATCACGTGGAATAAGATTGACAATCGCTTTGACTGTGCTATTCCTAAATCAATATTAAACTGGGTTCCTCACTCACAAGTTTACAGAATGTAAAGTTTGAGCCTGATACTGATAATTGGTACAGCTGATTGATAACAGTCGTTGATCATAATCAAATGATTAAATTTGGTTGAGTTCATTGTTTTAATGCACCATTTTGTTTTTGAAGCAGTTGCTTGTTAATTCAAACCAGTGGCTTGAGGCTGTGTGAGCAGAAGTTTAACGTGCAATATAAGTATACAAGCAGCTGGACATTAAATGGTACTTATTTGGAACAGTACTTTCAGGGGGTAGTCCATTTTTGGGTAGTCTATTTGTCATGAGTAGCCCGTTGGAGTAGTCCATGGACTGGAGGGCAGTGTTTTGTCCATCACCAGTACAGGTTAATACATTTTTATCACTTCATACAGTAACATGCAAACAACACTCTTAAGACACAGTGCTAGTGTAATTTCAGTCACATGTCTTTACATTTTTAGACAAGCTTGTTCTCTAGAGACAATGTGCCCCCATGATTGCATTGTGTAATGATGTTATGATGTCATAGGTCCTTCGGGCTTGCGCAGTAGAATGAGATGTATCCCGGATGTAGTTGTTGTTGTATTACGGCTAGTAATGGCGGGCTTTTATGAGCTTCATTAAAACCGTTGTGTTAGCATCGTTTAGTCTCGTTTAGACTACACTACACATTGTTCTTGCAATCTGCAGCTCCTTAATTCAAGCTCTCCAAGCATAATGGATGGATTTGTAGGGAGTTGCCAGTATAGAATTTTTTTTATCTCAAAAGAATGTGGCTTTGTACCTTTTGTTTCAAGAATTCTGTAGAAGGGGATCTGAGAGCTGCCTTAGAGTGCCTTCCAGGGGCTAATAAATTGGAGAACAAGGGTCACTCAACATGGCCTTTTATTTCAAGGAAACAAGGGTTATTTTGGAGGATAATTTGAGCGAACAATTGATATCTCTACCATTAAAGGGAATTTAGGGAAAAATGGAATTAATAAATTAAATAGAGCTGGGAACAAGGGAGAAAAATTGAAACTGTCAAGTGATTAAGTTACCTCCTGCTTCCTGCACTGTTATAGCCCAGTTCCCACCCTTTTCTATTCTAAGGCATTTAAAATTCCTTTGTTTTAAAAATATTGGTAATCCACCTTTCTCAGGTCCCAACCTCTTTTGACAGCTTACACCACACATGTGCACCCATGCCGCTTGATATTTTCTGACCTTTGATTTAACCACTGTAAAAGGGCTTACAATGTCTCTGGAAGTGAGCCCACTTTTTAATAGCCCAAAGGGCGAATTTCTGCTTGGTCATTCAGATTGGCTCAGAAGTCTCAGAAGATACTAAATGAAAGTCAAATAACATTTTGGGTTCTTGTTTTTGAGAGTATTCAAACGCATAATAAATGCATTTCTCTTCTGCTTCTAGCCCTCTTAGAAGTCCTGCTTCTTGCCTTTTCCCCTCCTGTCCCCTTAAATATCCTGGGCTCCCACCCCCCTGTCCCCTCCCCTCCCCAAGATCAAGGGAACATGCTACCCATCTGGGAGGCCCTCACCTTGATTTCTCATTTAAGCTGGCACTGAATCCATTTGACAGATTTCTGTATGTTTTGTCAGACTTGAAATTTGGATTTTTCAGTTTTTAAAATTTTTAGCAGAGCTCCGGCAGCCCGAAGGGCCACTAAGCAGAGCCCTATACTCGTATAGGAAGAAAAGGAAACCCATGAGTTGATTTTCTCCTGTTTACCATGGCTAGTGGTATTGCTTATGGGCGCGCGACACACGATGACAGAGTCGCGCAACATGGTGGCCATAAACTCCAAATAATAGGCTGACAGAGACATGCAGCCTTGGTTTGCCATGTACTTCTTTGATATTGGACATCCATGTTATGATCAATTGACACCTGTCAAAACAAGGTATCCACTGACCAGTATCATGTGACCATATCACGGGCTCAAGTTTACAGCTCATCAAGGTCACGCATTTTTTTAAAGTTGACCACTGACCAAGTGCTGGTTTTTGATTGGATTGCAGGCTCATGCCGGGTTAACTTGTTGAAAACAGGGCAGGATTGTTTGGAAGCCGGTTAACGCTGACCCAGGATTAAAAGTTAACGGAATTATAACTTTTTCCTCTGTACAAATGTTTTTGGCTGCTTTGTTTTGTGTATTTGGTGATTATTAAAACTCAAAACAGAAGGCCAAACAATATACAGAAAACTTCACTGCAAAGTTACAAAACTCAAAATCAAAATTCTACCTCTTCCTGGGTTAGCTTAATCGGGCTTCTAACAACCTGGCCCAGGAGCTACACTTTTAGGCTGGCCTAAATCTATATATTATCTTGTAAATAGTTACCATATATCTGAGGAAGGTTCAAGGCTGAAATGATGTATTTATTTAATCTCATCCGTCACTCAGTCAAAACTGAGTCAGACCAGGAGTTGTTCTCATTCTCACTATCCTCCAACACACAGACCTATAGAGCTTCACAATGTTATTAAAGCAACTAATTTTGACACCACTGAGATTTTCTTTATTTCTTTGGCAAAATATTTAAAGTTTATACTAAAGCTAAAGAGGTAATTTTCAAATATTACTGGGGTAGCTGTGATGGAATATTTTGAAGATAGAAAACCCATTATTTGGTCTTCTGAGCAACAATAACAGCGACACTTACAATTTATTGGTACAATCATTTCTCTTTGTAGTAAAACATGGCACACCCAAAGATGATGAATTAGAAGAACTGGGTGATGAAATTGTAGAAAAATGGAAAAAGCTTGGGCGTCGCCTAGATGTCAGTGATGCAAAGCTTCATGAAATAAATCAAGCTCATGACCAACTGTCTGAAAAGGGATACCACATGTTAAAACATTGGAAACAAGAAAAAGGTCCTGCTGCGACTTACCAGGCTTTGTGTGATGCGTTAAAACATAAATTTGTACAGCGCCAAGACTTGGCAGTACAGTTTTGTTACATTAATGGTAATTATGCTCTACAAATTGTATTAAATGGGTCTGAAATGGTTAGTGTGATAGACTCCATATCAAGCGTGTCAGGATTGGAGCCTTGAGTGAGGTCACTGTGTTTTGCTCTCACAATACCTCTCTTCACCCAGGTGTATAATACAACAGGGAATGCAAGACACGTTAAGACAATGACCTAAAAAATGTTATCTAACCTATTGACTGCATATGAAGCATACATACTTGTCTACTTAAGTGATAGTCACATGTCAATCATGATTTCATATCATGCCCAAATGATGTCATATTTGAAAATGTCTGCCATCTTGGATTTCAACAATTTTTCAGAAACACAGTTTCAAAATTTATTTGAAAAAAATCAGAAAATATAACTATACAAGGACTTTAAAAGTGATGATTTTGGCATAAATTAATCCTTGTACCCAGAATTTCACTACCACAGGAAATATAAAACGTTATGTTCAGGTAAGACATCCTTTGAAAACATGGTTGCCATAGAAACACCTGATCACATGACTAAAAAATTCTCACTGAAATGCTCTGTGGTCAATTTAAGGACTACTTTGTGGCTTGGACACTGAATAGCAGAAACATTCAGACAAATTGAATTCATTAGGCATGGCAATGTCAGGACTCATCTGCTGAAAGAGACCATTTTCCTCGCTAGTAACAGGCTAAATTCATTTCAAAGCTGTAAATTAATGTAAAGAATGAGTTTTATAGTTACGCAGTATTTACGTATCATGAGAGGTCATCCTTGGTAAAAAAACTACTTTGCTGATATCAAATGAAACATTTCTTTCCACGCTGTGTAGTGGGTAGAGTTGACAGTAATTTTGATTTTGTGTACTTGTACAAAGATGTTTAAATTAAGGTTGACATTCCCAGACTACATCACAGAATGATAATGCAAGGGCGTAGCTAGGGGGTCCTGGGGTGCCCGTGATCACCCCCCCCCCCCCCTTTTTNATTTACGGGAGAGTATGAGAATTGTTCATGCTTTAAACCTGGATAGCTAAATCTGACTCACAATATATCCACTGGAACCCAAGAGTTTTGTCTCTTTCATGGTTCATTTGGTTAAAGTCGTTATTGCATGTCTTTATAGCACCCGCTGATCCAGTACCAGAAGGAACAGTAACAGGAGAAGTCTCTGGTGTTACTTCAAGAACACATTACAACAGAGACTCCAGTGGAGTGAGAAGTGGTCCAAAACGGAAAAGCCGTGAACGAGGTATTTATAATTGCCGAAGATGATTGTGTTGAGGTTTTTGTAGTAAATTGAACAACGTTTAGTTATATATTGGAGTCTTTACTTTTTTCACTTTTCACCATAATAGTCTGTCTTTGTTTTTTTTTCCTGTGGTGTAATGATTAGACATTGGTCGTATTTACCCAGACAGGCGAGTAATTCTTCTCATGCGTATTATGCCTCATAGTAAATACGGAAAGTGAGACGCAGTAAACTTCAGAAGAACTTAACAGTTTTATTTGTCTGGAAGACTGATAAAACAGACGCATTATACGTCTAAGACGTAAATACGAGATGCATAAGGTAAATATGGTAAATACAAGGCGCATAAGACAGACGAACTCATTTGTGAATCCACTCAACTACATTTTGTAATCAAGCGACAAACAGATTAGCTCACAGTAGAAGAATGAAGAATGCTCCCCTGATTTTAATCAGGAAAATAATAAAAGTGTTCCATCCATCCTCCCACCCTCTCACCCTCTCAACAAACCCACCCATTAATCCATTGATTGATGGATCGATAGTTGTTGAAACAGTCACAAGAAATCCATGTAGTACAGACAAACAAATACAATTAACAATAATAACAATTGAACGGCAAAATACTATCCTGCAAGATGACGAACTATTTCTTTATTAGGTATGTTGTCTTGGAAGATTCACTGTGTTAGTGCCACCAGCAGAAACTCAGAGGAGCAAGATCCTCAAGAACAAAGTGAAAGGGTGAACAGATACATGGCACAGACGGCTGTTGACGTGGTCATGAGGGGAACATTTGATCTCTCCTCTCTTGAAGGACTAGAAGCTTATCACGCATACTTAGTAGGAAAACTTTATCTATGGAATGTAACCTTTGAGAGGAGTAGCATCAAAACAACCGTCAAGTGCCGTAGCCTGGAGATTCTTGAAGGCCTGTGGGAGGATTATTGCTCTGGTCGCCTCAATGCAGAAGCCGAGAAGTGCCTCATTACAGAGAAGGTTAAGGACGCGCTTGGTATGGAGACTATAAAGTTAGTAACCACTATGATGGAAGAAGACTACTTGGCTTGCAAATTGTCTTTAATGGAAGTTTCAGGTACGTTTTATTCTTTTCAACTATTAGAACGATGTTATTATAGAGTTTGTTTGTTTGTTTGTTTGTTTGTTTTTTCATCGAATTGGAGTCCTTATGAAGGAACAAATACAAACAGCCATGCATGTTGGTTTTAAGTTTCGGTCATTTCCTTGTGTTTAATTTGTTTGGTCATCTTCCTGTAATGATCCCAACTCTCATCAGTGGTCTTTCATTTGGGTAATGTCCAGGATTAAACGAAGTAACGAAAATTTAGAATTTTACCTTTTTTAGTAGGCCGTTTGCAAACACTGCGAGATAAACGAAAATAGGAAAAGATCGCTAAACTCGTAAGGAAGTCCCCAAACGGCATCCACGAAATTACGAAAGTCGCAAAAAAAAATAGAGAAATCTCGAAAACTCGACGAAAATCGAAAATTTAATTTAAAACTTTAAAAAGAAATCTCCGAAAATCACAAATTTTACAAAATTCACGGACACTGAGAAATTGCAATAATTCACGTTAACATGCAATTAAACTAATCTAATATATAGATTTAGGCCAGCCCAAAAGCGGAGCTCCTCAGTTATTTTTCGGAATGTTGTTACTAATGAAAATAATCCAACATGT